CTTTTAATTTTCAACACAAAGTTTGATGATAGGACATTTATTAAAAGTCTGATTTCGACATTCATTATTGCACAAGACAACTTAAATGGAATTACGAACCTAACACAACAAGATATTCTTACGCCATCACATTTTGTAAACAAAGAAATTGTTAAAACAATGCCCACAACAACACAACAACAAAATTCGTCTTTTTATCCTACGATCACACCAACACATAACAAAAATAATAATCCGTTTCGACCAAAAACATTACAATCAATAGATAAACTATAAGATGCTCCAAACTATTCGCAAACGGATTCGGAAAAATCTAGTCCAATTAATAATAAACGCCTAATCAAAAAACCAAAAGCAGGAATCACGTGAAAACCGAAAGAAACACAAAATTTAAAATTACAATTTGTCAATATTATTCAGACAACCACGTCACACAAAAACATCATCCAAGACTCCAAGGCAAAACAAAAATTTAAAAAAATCGAATAAATCTTTTCACCAATACTTGACGCACGACCGAAATTTTTCAGATAAAATTGATCAAAGTAAAAACAGTTCAGGAAAACCGCTACCACCTAGCTATAGTAAAAGCACATCACAATCACCATCTTCCAACATTTTTTGTGGACGATCCCCAGATAGGCGAAATTCAAAACTATTTATATATAGAATATATCACAACTTATATAATCTAAATCCAAAACACTAACCACGAAATTTCTGCCACATACTTAACATCATCCGCGCACTAGAACTCTTTTGGCCACTCTTACGTTTTACAAAGTTCATTAAAATGCTTGCAAAATTTTTAACTTACTCACCCACAGTTCAAAACAATTTCCCAAATGGTTTTTTTTAAAACCCAACCATCAGTGAGTGTGAAGTTATAAAAAATCACTATATAAATCACTAATTCACTCACCATTTTTACACGTGTGTTTCACCATTGCTTTTTAGATTTCACTAGTAATTTCTCTGAAAACAATACATGAAATAAAAATTAAAAAAATGAAACTTTAAAAAAATTTTGCTTCAAATACTAACTATTTGTTGTAAGTTTGTAATCGTGCAATAGAATTGATACGCAGCAATTAATTTTTAATATTGCTGTAAATTATCTGTACGAAGTACTGAACTATTAATGAATAATAAATAGAGTAAAACTAACCTTTTAATGTGTGCTATAGTTTGAAATTTTTCATTTTTTTTTGAACTCGCCTTATTTCACGCAAATCAAAGGAACTCGTCACTTGTATAAACTAGCCACATGAACATGAACGTCTCACGCTACCCAATTTAGATTAAGTCCAGAAAAAACTGGATAAATTATTCTTTTGAATTTTGATTGAAACTTTTATTAAGACCACATGAAACGTAAAAACACTCAACAAATAACACAAACCAAAAACAATCCATTTTTAAGAAAAGGACACAACCAAGGAACAAAAGAGAAAACACCTGATAAAAAAGAAAAGAAAGGTTAAACACAAAAACAGACTTTTCTCAAAGACATTCTCCTCTAGCCTCACCCACCAAACGACGTCGCTCGAAGTAAATGTGCTCAACATATACAACATCCAGACCCTCAATTTTTGCTCTAGCGTAAAAAAATTTCTCAGAGCAAAGAAACGAGCAGGAAAAAGGATCGGTAATAGATTAAGGTTTTGCATGAATCTATCCGGCCGAAAACAGGATAGCGTGACAAACAGACGGTGTTTTTTATCCGACATTACTTTATGAGAAAACCACACCGGACTTAAACTCATTTTTGTCGTAAATACCCCGGCTGTTAAAAAACCCTCAGATCCAAAAAATATCCCAGATCCACAATTTTGCATAGTTAGATAACTTTTTTTGATACCTCTAAAAAAGTTGCTTCGGTAATTAAAAATTTATCTCCTTAAGTATTTGTCTCCTTAAAACAAGCCTCTTTTGTCAGTTATTTGTAAACTACTAGACATTCGCAATTGTTTTTTTTCTGATAACTTCAATCAGCACTGAACCAGTAAAGTATGAAACGAAACTTTTCTGAGCAATAAATTTATACATGTTTTAAGCAAAACTCACCGGGGCAGACATGTTCCGCCAGGCATTTGCAGAGACGTTCGCACAGACATGAGCATAGTAATTTGCTAATGAGCTCACAGCAACAGTTTCTGCGAGCTAAAACAGAATTACATGATAACGTAGAATTTAAAAAGGCATTATTGTTTTTTACTCTACAATTAGCACCAATCTTTTCGCTCACCTTATTCAGAGCAAGAAATGATCTCAACAATTTTTACTCAGTATATTTGTTCAATTCTGTTAATTTTTCAGCTGTTTTCTTGAATAGCTAGTGTGGATGAGAATTACATCTCGATACTTAACTGTTAAAGCTTTAAATCTAATTTAAAAAAGTGCTAAAATCAGACAGAGAGACTGCTTTAGCACTGAGATAGTTTGAAACGGATTAGCTTGAGTGGTGTTTTTTTAAATGAAAACCATGAATTCATAATTGCCAGATGTTCAGGCGTCTAAAAGCAGTTTTTAAAGTTTCCAAATGTTTTCTGCCAATTAGTTAAGTGTTCCCAATAATAAACTTGGAAATGTTAAGGATTAAAGACAAAAACACTCAGTTTTCTTTCGTCCATAACCTTTGGGTAGCCTAGACCAAAAGTGGCTCATTGGAAGTCAGATTCTATCGTTACTTGAAAAAAGGACTCTTCATATCAATCAGTGCATATAGCCCGATTGGCGCTTCAACCTCATTATATTTCTACATTCTCGGTGATAAAAGGCAACATCTATCTAAACCCTTAATATTTTTTTATTTCAGGACACATCGTACAAAATCCTACATTCAGATCGCAAAACATTAATCAGACCAACATACTGACTGACCGGAACCTCAAATTACAAACTCTTCTACAGAGTGTTTGAAAGTAAGAAAACTGAGAGTCAATGAAACCGGTAACACATCATCTAAAGCCAGCAAAACTCTTTAGAAAAACAAAAACTGATTTCGATTAAACAATACAAAAAAGAATTTTGGGAACGTTCCATCAAAAAACACGAAAAACAAGTATTCTCATTAACTTGAGAATAAAATAAATTTTCCCGAGAAAAGCAAAATTTGGACAAATTAATTTAACCATACAATGGAAAAAATTAATTTATAATGGAAAATTTAACCATACAATTTCCTCAAAATGCTTCAAGTGGGCAAACCCCAATCACATACTAACATTTTTGACCCTACTGTTACTTCAAGTTCCCTACTACCGGATAACTGCTCGGAAAAACGCTTTGAATTTGCACTTACATCTACATTTTTACCCACGAGTAATAAATAAAAAAATATATGTTTTTTTTTCAGAATTGCTTAAAATTTAAAAAAAAATCAGTTTAATAGCTTTATGAGGAATATAGTCGTGTTGACTATACCCATGTTCCAACAAATTTTTGGTTTCCAAAAACTAGATCTAAAATCATTTTTATACCTAAACATAAAGTATAAAAACATTGTGTTGCTTAATTTGACTCAATTTAAACTTAAGCACAATTAAACCATACAGGGTTATCAAGGATTCCCTTGGGTCTGTTTTTCATTAGAAATTTGAAAATTATTAAAATTGTATAATTATTTTGATAGGTACTTAAATTGCATCTACTCGCCTACCCGGGCCGAGGTTTCGACTTTATGTTTCAACCAAAAACGCATATGTTTTGACGAGCGCGACCAAAAACATCTATGTTTAGACCAAATTCGACTAAAACATATATGTTTTGACCAATGCCGACGGAGCAAAAACATTTCAACCAAGTTTGACCAAGGAAAAACGTTTCGATCGAGTTCGATCGAGGAGTTGTTTCGGCCGAGAAAAAAAAACATTTCGACTATGATCAACCGAGGGAAACGGTTTGACAGAGCTTTCAGTAGGTTTTTTTTCGAGGAAAAAGAGTTAACAGAGCTCATAAAAACTCTACTCCATACTTCTTTGCCGATCTTACACTTGAGACTCGACCGGCAAGTCTACAGCTTTGTTCAGGGGGAAAATGGTGGCATGCTAAGCGAGATAGCGCAGTTTTTTTAACAAAAAACGCAAGAGTGCAGACCCCGACCAAATATAACAAACACTTGATTGAAGTTTGCTCGGTAGTCGATTCCTCAGAAATTTACTCAAAATCTATAAAACCGCTAGAAGGAATGATTCGATACATTACGAGGCCAAACTGTGCATTTTCTGAATTGTGAGGGGATTCACAACAGGCAAAAATCAGATTTGTCGCGGAATCCGCAACATTGCCATTTTTTAAATCTTCTCTGCTGTTTTGGATTCCACGGACAAAAAGCTAAACTAAAATACTATGTTGCTCACAATTGCTCCGAGAACAGGCAACTTTGCGAAATCCGCAACAAAATAAGTGGAATCCAGAATCAGTTCGTGGAATCCATGAACAAATAAAAATATATGTGTTTGCTAAACTTAAGCTGACGCGAAATCTGCAATTGTAAGTGGAAACCGCAAACTATAAGCGGGATCCGCATAAATTTGCGGAATCCAGTTACATTTGCGGAACCCGCTTACATATGCGGAATCCGCAACAACTACCTATGTTCGCTCGTTGCGGAATCGGCAACTAAACCAAAGTGCCGACAAAATTTACGTTAAAGATACTTGTACGCGAAATCCAATGAAATTTTGTAATCCATTTACGCTTTAGAATATGTTCAAATAATGTCTCTGGAATCCAGGAACATAGAGACACAAAATTGTGCGCCTAACCAGTGCACAGTTTGGCCTCGTATTGTAGATTTTCACTATCAGTGTAAGAATTGGATAACACGACCCTTTTGCTTATCCGCGCTACCAAGGATGAGAAATAACAAATCTCGAACTAAGAACCAGTTTCGAGAAATCATTAATAATTCAATATTCGAGTTCAGATGAATCTTTTTAGAATTTTCTGGATTCTTTATTTTCTTTATAGAATCGGGTTATTCTAAAAATTCAAAAGAGTTGGTTTCTTTCTCGATTCACATGTGTTTTTATGTTCCAAAAAGTTTGGCTCATAAATGATCCATAAAAGAAACGATCTATCCTGGAATCAAACCTGCGCTAAACCGGACGATACGCACTGTCCTTACACTCGGCTAGTGTTTTTGTAGCCACTGATTGGCCCGATAAATTTTTATTGATTGCAGGCAGAACGTGCGAAGTAATCGTATCAGTAGTGCTTCGCAGGTGATCAACCTAATGGCTAGTGATCATGAGGGCTGGGATCGAAAAAGCAAACCAGATATCCGTGATTCAGGTTGCAATTGGCATGCCACTGTGATGGCTTTTTCATGGAAGGGGCATAATGTTTTGGCCAATCTGATAAAGTTCACATAATAGTATAGGTGGTCAAAATGTCATCAAGAGTTAGCAAATTCGGACCATCAATTGTTACTGGACAGGCGTTTGATGATTGCTTTATTAAGCAAAATGCCTTAGACAAACTTTTATTCAATTTGATTTCGAATTTCTTTCATTAAAAAAAATGATATTTTTTAGCAGTATTAGATTTTGGGGATAACAAACTATTTTTCCACGCGTGGTTGCATGAGCTCAGCTATCATAGGACTGCAACGACTTTAATAAGCAAAAATAACCAATTTGTTTTGCCAATTATTGATAAATTAAAAGGCAATTCACAAATTTGGGATTAAAATTCGTAAACAATGATTCTTAATATTTTTACTAAAAAGTTTTATTGCACCCACATTAAAGTTTTATGGATAAAAATCAGTTTTAATGGATTATTTTTTTGTGATGAAAATGGATTAAATTTTGCAGCCAATTATTCAACTTTTTGCGATTTCTTACAAGAGTTGAACGAACACGTTCATCCAGGGGCGGCCAAAACATAGTAATTTTAAATAAGGCCAACATCTAGTAATTTTTCACAAATTGCCCAAAAATGGCATTTTTGACCAGTTTTTTCTCACGAAATTTGTCTGCGGCTCTAGAAACTCGGTCGAAATACATTCTTTTCAATGTTGTGGGAGTGCTTTTGATTTTCCAGTCCCTCTTCCCACACCCCTCCCACGTACTCACGCACAAAGAGATACACACACACGTAAACACAGGAAAAGATTTTATAAAATTGATTATAACCCATTGTAATTGATTAAAATTGATTATTTTTCGTTTGATTAAACTTTTTTAAAATAAGCTGAAAATAATCAAATATAATCGATCATAATCCATTAGATTGAAATTTTATTGCTTGAAAAATAGCATCATTATAATCGATTTTCAATGAATTATGATCGGGTATTTTTGTTAATTTATAGAGACTGACTATGAAAATCCAATATAACCGATTATTATCCTTGAGACTTCAGTGAGGGCAAGCTTAAACAGTCAGGAGAAAAGAAAAAACGAACTGAACTAAGAGTTCAATGTCATAATTTTCGAAGGACAAGCTTGTGGCATTTTTCTTTCAGTCAATTTTTGATTTTTGTTTAGTTCAGCCTAAAAATTATTATAATCCATTAAAAATTATTAGTCGGAATGATTCCGTGAAAAAAGTAACGCTTTGTTATGATCGTTTTTGTTATATCATAGATTATGACTATAAGTTTGAGATTTATATGATTGTCATCTACATAACTCTAGTGCCCTATAGAGTATTTAATTGGGAAACGCTGAGCCAGCATACATATTACCTCGATTTTGCAAAATATCTGCTAAGGTAGAGTATTCATTCACTCTCACAAAATTTATCTCTAAGTATTGTTCAAACTTAACATCAAAAACTTTTTGATTAACGTAGGTTAACCAAGAATTTTGTGGTCTTAACTGTAAACACCTGTAACTGTGACTATATAAAACAATTTGTGAAGGTGAATGTATACTCAAATCTAACAGAAATTTAGCAAAATCGATGGTACATGTATGTTTTCCGCTGTTAAACACTCTGTTTTCTACAATAGAGTTTTTGGATGGTATTCATTACATCAGAAATTTGATGTCAACATCTGTAATATACAAAAGTAATCATGAAAAATGGATCATAGTGTTTAACTTTTTTGTGGGTTATGATATTTTTTTTCAGAATCGGCCTGAAACATTTAAATACCCTTAAAAATAAGACCATTGTATTTCGGTTACCCTTAAAAATAAAACCATTGAACTCTTTTTCGGTTACAAAAGTGATAACCTGCTTTTTTTCTTCACATTTTTTTCCAATGTTCTGATGTAATTTAGTGTCCTAATTTTCGTTGACCTTTGATTACCCTAAATATTGGGTTTGATAGTGAAAACGGGATAAGATGGCTTTATCGAGCAGCTTCACGATCGTTCAGGTTTAAAGCACTCATTAATAAAAATTGGGCTCATTCAAATTTAAATAGAAAAATACTAACTCTGGTGATAACCTTCCGAGAAAATGTGGAAAATGATTCGTTGGGAACCAGTCCAATTTAAGTTGGGTTTCTTCTTAGCTGCTTAGTTCAACTTAGGCTCATTTCACTCCATTTTATACGATTTGGCCATATGAGCCCACTGTTTTCTTGGAGATCAGTTTAAAACGGAGATCAGTTACAACTTCTACAATTGGCCTACCTTTCTGTATTTGTTTGGCGGCCTTTCCTTTCTTTTTTCTCGAAGTGTTTTTCGGGTCGGTCATAGCGCCATCGTTTCTTTGCTTCATCAATTTCGCCTGCAATTTAATTTCCCACACTATATTCTTTCCTACTACTGTGACATCATTGGGGTCACAACTATGGTCAGTGTCCATGGCCTGTAGTTCATCAAATGCAGGGTTGTTTTAAGTGTTAAATAATATTCTTTTGAATGCGCTTTGCTGTGGTTGAGACCTTGTGTTTGCTTAATTTTGATAGTTTTAAAAATTATAATTTCAAAATATTTCAAAGAATTATAATTTCTTTGAAAGATATTTCATGAATAATAACTCTATTCGTAAGTTTTTAAACTATATGGTGTTTTATTATGCAAGATATTTTACCTCATATTTTTAGAAATTAAAGACGATGAGAGTTTTGCAAAAATTGCTGCCTAATTTTGCAATTTTTCAAATCCAAATATAATCCATTATAGCCTATTTGAGAGGAAACAAATATGAAAAGATAGAATATAAGGGATTTTAAACCCTCAAGTTCTGGAAGTGTAATTATCATCCATGAAAAATAAATTATTCTTGACTATGCAACATTGATATTATCATTTAAAAAACGTATTTGAAGAGACTTACTTCTGAGAAAAATTAAATACTTAAAAAAAACGCCTCTATATTAAAACGCCTAAATCTGCCATTTTTACTTGAAACATCTCTGCCTTAAGCTGGTTCATTATTTCGCCATTTCCACAAAAAAACTCCCAATTTGGCCTTGAAAAGCTCATTTCCCACAGAAGCTCAAATGCCGGGTAAGAAATGTCGTCATTGTTCCAATCAAAAATAACTGGTAAGTTATTCAGAAGTGGTGTTTGCTGAGCGAGGATATTCGAGTTGCGTTCCGTTCGAGAAAATATCATGAGCATTTTAAAAAAACAGCCAGCTCCGTAAGCTGGTTTTCTAGCTAAATTGGCAGCAACGTTTTCGATCCAGAATTCTTGACGGTTTTCAAGAGTTTCGGATAGATTACCAATTAGAAGACTAATAACAGGTAGAGATTCGTTTAAAATTGATGACGATTTGACTTCGTCTCGGTCAGAAGCAATAGCGAGAAGTAAAAGTGTGAACACTTTTAGTTTTGAAGTTTCTGCAGTTGAAGAAATGACTTCTTCGGACTGAACTTCCAAAGTCGTTTCGAAGAACGTTCTCTTAGCATCTACGGCGATTTCCAGTGTTTTGCAAAGAGCCAAAATCAGTTTGATAATCGAATTTTCGTCTGTTCTTTCGGATGGTTGAATTTTTAACTGATTTCCTAAGAGCTCGAGCATGCTTTTCACAGATCCATTTTTATGCAAATTTTTGCAAAAATTATCACTGTTTGCTGTCAACATAAAAAGCGCCTGCGAAAAAACTGAAGCTCTTTTTTGGAAGTTATCGCCATTCCCAATCTGGCAAAAATTCAGCTCTTTTTGAATGATCGAAGGCAAATTTGGGTCTTCATAAATTGAATTAACTTGTTCCTCAGTTTCAGATGCGCTTTCTTTTTCAAAGCGGTCCAGTAGTTCCTGGAATTCAAATACCGGAGCATCCTCCAATTTGGAGGAAACCTCCTCCGAACCACTCGCCATAGTCAAACCTTACTGTGAATAAATTAAATATGTCGCAAAAATAACTGTAAAGCAAAAGGAATAACTATCCAAATGAAATTAAATCTAAATCCAATAAACACAGGTGAAATGAATCAAATATGGCGTGTTGAACGGATATTTTCTTGTTTGCTTATTTGTTTTGCATTGAAAATCAAAGTTCAATGAACATTTATGGTAAAACTTTGATGTCACCAGATGATTTTTGTTATTATTGATGACCAGTTAATGAAATAAACTTAAAATTATTTTAAGTTACTATAAAACTGCTACTATTCTAGTCAGTTTTAAACTTATCCTAGTTGATGCAAGCGCAAATATTGTAACATAAAATTTAAGAAAAAAACCAAGTAGTTTTCATTTCAAAGTTTTTTGTGATAATAACAAAGAAAGGTCAGCGAACGTAAACTATTTCCAAAAACTAAAGCCAGTGATATAGGGACCAGTTCTGAGTTTATGTAAGTTATATGAGTTTGTTCTTTCTGTCTGGGGACCTGCTGTTGTGACCTTGCGATCTCTATTGCCCGGCACGAGCTAAAACAGAAAGGTGCAGTAAGATTTAGTTTTGATGCCTTACAGTTTCTTTGCAATTAACTTTAAACAAATATTCTTTTCATCACTATACATTATACAACTTCAACGTGGCGCAGTCAGCGGAACGAAAAGGAGGAGGGACAAATCCGCTAAATATATTATCATTCTGGGACGCACGGACGCCGGAAACCACAACCTGCTGGGAGGAGTGGATCATAATGTTCCACTGGGGCATGATAGCAAAATATGACATCGATCTTGATGATTTTCATTTTGCGCGTACTCTAAATGCAGCGGCCATTGCGGCGTTACCGGAGGAAGTCAATGGGAAGAATCGGACCGAGGTGGAGAAAAAGTTGAAGTCTAACCTATATCTCTGTATTGGAGACAAAGCGCAAAGGATATTTAAAGCCTGAAAACCGGCGGTGAATGTTAAAACGGAAAGGTACCCACGGGTATTGGACGAAATGCAAAATGTCTTCAAACGCGAGCGAAATGTGACACATGAGACGGGACTATTCTATGGGAGAATGCAGAGAGAGAATGAAACGTTCGAGAAATTCCACGCTGAGTTAAGCGCCCTCGCAGGAAGGTGTGATTTTGCTAACGCGGCCGAGAATGTTCGTGATATTTTTATTCTGAATATGCGGGAATCTGATTGTCAAAGTGAATTATCACGGTCATCCAAGTTACCAGAGAAGGTATATAGGATAGCACTCTTGTATGAAAGACGTGAACGTGCATATAAACCCTACACCGGAAAACCGGCCTCGTCCGCGCCGCCGATAACCATGAAACAGGAGCCAGTTAGTAATATCAGAAGGGGACAAGGATATTTCAGAGGTCGAGCACGCGGGGGTCGCGGAGGATATATCCAAGGATCAGGCAGTGGAGGCGGCGGAAATAACCGCAGGTGTTATAATTGTGACGCGCCGAATTTTACGCTAGACCATATTGCAAGTTGTCCTGCGAATGGAGCAACATGTAATGCGTGCCGAAAATTGGGGCGTTTTAAACGCACATGCAGGGGAGTTAGAAGAGGTACTAACCAGTGGAGAGGACGAGGACGAGGACGAGTAGGATTAGTGAGGGACGAAAATGAGTATCACCAAAATATGCATAGTGTAGACAATGCGTCGGAAGATCAAGTGGCATGGGTGAATCAGCAGGGAAGTGGGGAGAATGAATCCATGACGTCGGGATCCGATGACTACATGGTGATGTGGATCAAGAAAAAGAACGTCACGGAGTTGAAGATCCCAGGAGCCAGAGTCCAGGTTAATGTGTCGGGAAAGAAGATGTGGCTTTGGGTGGATAGCGGATCTCCCGTGACGATTTTCAGCCTGACGGACCTGAAAGCAACAGGGGTAAAACTAATTTTCAGTTACAACCATCTCAAGAAGAATTCTTGGACTACAATAACAACCGAATACACATACTTGAGACACATACAGTCAACCCTTGGGCGCGATCTGAGAAAGAAGGTGTTGCAAAGAAAGAAGGTGATGTGAATCACGGTGGAATGGAGCAGTCAGGAAGAGGAGGAATATGATAAATTACAAACAGATTTCTGTAAGTTGTACCCAAATTTATTTACCAGAACAGGGAAAAACCGAAACGCTAAAGTAAGAGCTGATTTCTTTGAAAATCTAAAGCCGATACAGCAAAAAGGGCGTCGGGTGCCTATCAGTCTACAGGATAAAGTAGACAATGAAATAGACCGTGTGATAAAAGAAGGTCATATCATTAAAAAACAAGAATGTTCGGTTAAGTACTTTGTCTCTCCTATAGTAATCACAGTAAAAAAAGATAGAAGCATAAAATTGGCATTGAATCAAGAGAACTTAACAAGCAGGTACACAAGAATAAGTACCATATGCCAAACATTGACGAACTAGTAGACGGGATAAGTCAAATGGTTGCAGAACAAAAAGCGGGGGATGTATTTTTTACAACATTGGATTTCACTTATGCGTGCGAACAAGTATCATTGGAACAAAAGACTAGCAAACAGTGCAATTTTTCTTTAGACGGCGGAAAATTGACGGGAACATATCGTTTTAAAAACCGATTTTATGGGCTCATATCAATGCCGGCGGAGTTTCAAAAAGTCATTGATAATTTACTTAAGGAATTTCCCCAGGCAAATGCTTTCATAGACGATATCTAAATTGCGTCAAAGGGAACAAGAGTAGAGCATATTGCATTAGTGGAAAAAATGTTGAAGAAGTTGGACGTATCAAACGTTTCCTTGAAACTACGGAAATGCGAATTTGCAAAAACCGTGTGTGAATGGTTAGGGTTCCGAATTGGAAAAAACGGCATCGCGCCAATAATTTGGAAAATTCAAGCGGGAGAAGATTTGAAAACCCCAAAATCTAGAAAACAATTGAAATCACTAATGGGTTCTATGCACAGTTTGCATAAATTTTTGCCAAAACTCGCTGAAGTGAGCGCACCGTTACGACCGTTACTTAGTCAGAACAACAATTTTGTCTGGACACCGAATTGCGAGAACGCGTTCAAACAATTGAAATCTCTAGTGAAAATCATTGTAGAGCATAGGCATTTCGATATTCACCGTGAAACTAGAAAAATTTGCGATGCTAGTCACGATGGCCTAGGGGCCGTGTTAGAACAGTACAGCGCCTCCGGTTGCCACCCAATTTCGTTTGCGTCACGCTATCTTAATCCGGCCAAAAAAAAGTATTCTACAAACGAATTGGAAGTACTCGCGGTAGTGTGGGCTACGGAACACTTTCGAAACTATATCTATAGACGTTATTTTTTGGTTTTATCGGATCACAAGGCGTTACTTACACTATTAAATTCTTCACCAAAAGGAAATAAAACATTTTTTAGTCGGTTAACTCGATGATACGATCGTTTAGTACCATATGATTTCAAATTTGAACTTAGACAAGGGTCAAAAATAAGAATGGCAGATTATTTGTCTCGGTTTTCATCTGCAGCGGCGCCCAAAACAAGTCATTACGATTAAAGTTTTACAGTAGCGAAAAAAAAATGACAAATGATGCATTAAAACCTAAGGACCAGTTAGAGCCTGGGGGTCAAAAGGTGAACCAAATTAAAAAAAGTCTGACGGTTGAGGGCGGACGATCATGTGTGTACTCAAATAGAAAAGTTGTGTCCAATGAAATTAAAAGGAAAATAGAAATTGCAAATATTAACCGTGAGAGCACGCGCTCACTAGAGGGCGTGGTTACATGCAACCGACGGTTAGCCAACCAAAATCGAGATATTTGCATACCGGCGGAAGTATGCAAAATACGAAGCAAGAAAATAAGACGTTGTTCTCAGTACGTAGAATCAAGTTGTTTTCGGAAAGAAAAAATCAAGAAAAGTATGTCATCTCTAAATTCTCCAGAGAAAACCGATCCAAAAACACCTTCTGCTATTGTTAATACCTCCACTCATTCCGGAAATGTAAATCTCAATGTAGTTCTAATTAGAGATCAAAACCATACGCCGAGTTTAAGTTCAGATTCTGATATAGAAGTAATACCTCCAGATAAAGTTATTCCGAAAAAGACTAACTCGAAAAAACTAAACACCGTTATTTCATTCCCTCATCAATTCCCCGGATTGTCTTATCTCCTTGTGCAAAGTGATAAGTGGACTTATTCAATAGTGCCTACTGATAGTCGAATATTTAAGAAACTTGATTACCCAGAGGTTCTAAATTTAAAAATAGTTGAAGCTAACTTGGAAAAGTACCCGATATTGAAAACGATCCGCGACGCGATACGAGAAAAGGACCCACGGGCCTAGGACATTATCACCAGACTGGAACATTATAACGCTCATAATTTCAACGATTTTGCTATGCGCGAAAACAGTTTGTGGATGGATGGTCGACTGGCCATAACAAAGGACGTGTCGTAGGCAGTGTTAAACCGATTGCATCACAACCATCACGGGAGGGACAAAATTGTCGCGGCGACGAAGGATGTCTGGATACCGTTCATGCATAGGAACCTTGCGGCCACAGCCAAATATTCTAAAAGCTGCCTAGAAGCAGGTAAAAACCTTAAACCGGACATTCCAAAAATTGACATGATGGACACATATGTACCCAGGAAACCTAATGACCTTGTTCAATTGGATTTCTGGGGTCCTGTAAATTATGTACGGGGTCGAAAGAAATATGTTTTAGTAGCGGTAGATACGTTCTCACATTGGCAGTCGGCTTATGTCTGGTAAAGTAACAAATCTAAAAAAAAAAAAATTCCTGAGGAAATACATAAATACACATGGGCACCCAAGGAAATTACATATGGATCGGGCAACCGGATTCTTTTCGAATGACATACAATACTTCTGTAATTATGAGGGCATTGAATTTATAAAATCTTCGGTTAAGGATCATCGCGCTACGGGAATGGTCGAAAGGAGCATTGGCTCGATAAAAAACTACGTCCTAACATATCTACAGGAAAATAAAAACTATAAATTTTAATTGTTGATCTCCCGTGCTCTGAGCGCCCTACGATTTGAGTCGCTCTCTAAAACTAAACTAA